AGGAATTAATTATCCCTAAAAATCCGAAAATTTATTTTTTTAATATAGGTTAATTGACTAAAATGTCTTTATGCTGAAATTTGTGTGATTATATGGTATATGCTATCATATTTCTACTATCATAAACCTTCAGATCATGACCTTTGATTATATTTCATCCAATGATCCATATCTGTGCATTCTGCCACACAAAAGTTATTAAAAACAAAATAACATAACCATATATATATATATATATATATATATATATATATATATATATATATATATATATATATATAGGTTCATTTGAGGCTATGCTAATTTTGTGAGACATGCAAACACAATCCTAGCCACTCATCTTGACGATAATATATATATATATATATATATATATATATATATATATATATATATATTGCAAAATAAAAGGAAAATTACAAAAAAAACTTTTTTTAAATATTATTTTTGCTAATTATTTTATTAAAAAAATAAAAAATCACCGATTTTTTTTCGAAATATGAGTGAGTATTCTAATAGAATTTAATACTAAATAATCAAATTGAATTTTTTGAATGTTAAAATATTTTAATATTCTATCAAAATTAATAGATATGCTAAAATATTCTAATATTCGGCATTAATTGTTAGATTTGTTAGAATATTCTAATATTCTATTAGGATGTTTGGAATATTTATAGTTTAATATTGTAATAGAATATTCTAATATTCTAAAAATTCGATTTGAATATTTACAATATAATATTCTATTCGAATATTTCACGTATATTTTGAAAAAAATTGATATTTATTTATTTATTATTTATTATTTATTTATTTTTGGATAAATTGAATGTCGTAAATAATATTAATTTTTTTCCCAAAAATTCTCATTTATTTTGTATTTTAATATATATATATATATATATATATATATATATATATATATATATATATATATATATATATATATATATATCTCCAAAATGAATTAGTAGGATTGCGTTTTCATGTGTCACAAAATATGATGATTTCACATGAACCTAACATTATATATATATATATATATATATATATATATATATATATATATATATATACTACCTTATAAAAGAAATCTTACTATTTCTATAAATAGAATCAATATAATAATAATATTTTTTAAGACGTTCAAGTCTTTAAGTTTAAAGTACAACCAACTATTAATATAATAATATTACAATATATATGTTACGAATGATAATGCTAGGGATATAAGTATTAAAAACACATTTAAATTATTATTTCCTTATTTTTAGGGATTGTATTAGTATTTTCATCAATTTTGACCCAACTTATACTCCTAAAATATCTGTTCTTTGGTATCTGGTGCATTCGAAATCTGAAACACTTCTTTTCGACAAATCGTTTGAAATTAAAAAGCTCATTCAAATTGGAGTTCCCTAATTTTTTGCATAAAATATAATTGGCTGGAGACTAATTCAAATATTTATCTCCTTTGCCTCCATGGGATCCACCACCATAGTATTTTTTTGGTTTTAGCATTGCACTTTTTATTTTTGTGAAACCGATCGATAATGGTGCAAGTGTTTTTAGAAATATAACATGTCTATGAATGGAACTATTGGTAGAAATTAATTGTCGCCACCGCTTTGCGCTAGCAAACGGATAGTGTGTGTGTATATATATATATATATATATATATATATATATATATATATATATACACACACACATACATATACACACAAAGAAGGGTTATATTGAAAACAAAAAATCCCTAAAAATCATAAAAATACATAAAAAAAACCTAAAGATCACAAATCATTTTTTTGAATTTATATATAAAACAATTGCAGCTTTTTTTTTTATAAATTCGCTGAAAAAAATTAAAAAATTGATTTTTTTTTGTTTCAATTTTTTTTCAGCGAAATTATATAAAAGTTGCGAATTTTAAGATTATATAAAGTTTAAAAAAAAAAGATTTGTGACCTCTAAATATTTGTTATGTATTTTTTTTTTTTTAGGGTTTTTATTTTTCTATAGAACTTAAACCTAATTAAATATTTATTTAAGAAAAACAAATAAATAAAAACAACTATTATCGATTGAACTATTTAATTTTTATTTTAAGGGATAATGACTTGAAAGGGTAACGAACTTTCGACTTTTGTCACATTTAGTCACTAAATTTTTTTTCGTTATCTATTTGTCATTGAACTATTGAAACTGTTCACATTTTACCCTTATGACCGGCTGTTACCGGTCATAATGGTAAAATGTGAACAATTTCAATAGTTTAGTGGCAAATAGACGATGAAAAAAAGTTTAGTGACTAAATGTGAACAAAATCGAAAGTTCGTTTCCCTCTAAAAATTTCAGTGACTAGATGTGAACAAATTTCGCATGCCAAACCAATGGTCATAATTCACATCAGTGAGAATGGTTCATTTTTTTGTAAAACCAAAAATCATATTGGAAATTTTGATTTTTTATTTTGGAAAATGTCAAACCATTGGTTTTTTATTTCGGTTTTTTTTTTTTTTTTTTTTTTTTTTTTTTTTTTTTTAAATTTTTTTTTAGGTTTTTTTTTTTTTTTTTTTTTTTTTTTTTTATTTCATAGATTTCTTCATCAACAAATGTTGCTACAATTTAACAAAAGTAAATAATTTGCTAAAACATAATACAAGAAGATGTTTGTTCACATTTAGGTGCTGTTTGTTTTTTCGAAGCGAAAATTCATGAAGTCTGCAGACCACCTCTGCAATCCTCTGTAGCAGAAGAGGTGGAACAAACGGCTGCAGCCTATAATAAGAAGTATGTTTGTTTTTTAACATCTGTAGTAAACTAAAATTTAAATAAACTAATTTTATAAACTGAAAATAGTTTTCAACACTGAAATTTAATAATTATAGTTTTAAAACATTGAAATAATAATAACAAGAACATGTACAAAATAAAAATATAAAACTTTAAAAAAAAAACTTAAAAAAATGTAAACGAAGCTAATAGTTTTATTCTAGAAAAAAAAATAATTTTAAAAAACATTAAAAAAGAAAATAATAAAAAAATTAAGAAAGTATTGCAAACGTTGTCTACAAAGTTCGTAAAAAATTACACACGTTAAAAAAGATGTAACTGAAATTGAAAATATTATTAATAAAATAGTAAAAAAAATTAAAAAAATCAAGTTAAAAAAACAATCGTGGAAATTATAAAAATAAATTGTATCACATCCGTAAATAAAAATTTAAGAAAATCAAAAATAAAAAAAAAATTTAAATGTTATACAAAATTAAAAAAAAACACTTAGAAAAAATAAAAGTTGAACAGGTTAGAAGAGGCAAGTCAAGTGCTGCGCCACGCAGCACACGCGCAGAGGTTTTGTAGTCTGAAGTTTTCCAAAAAACAAACTGCTGCGAGAAGGAAAGTGCTGCGCGTGTGTTGCGCCGTGCAGCAATAAGTGGTTTGAAGAGGTTTTTATAGAAAAACAAACAACACCTTAGTCATTGAACTTTTTAGAGGGAAACGAACTTTCGATTTTGTTCATATTTAGTCACTAAACTTTTTTTCGTTATCTATTTGTCATTAAACTATTGAAATTGTTCACATTTTACCCTTATGACCGGCAACAAACGATCATAAGGGTAAAATGTGAACAGTTTCAATAGTTCAATAGCAAATAGATAACAAAAAAAAATTTAATGACTAAATGTGATAGAAATCGAAAGTCCGTTGCCCTTTCAAGTCATTATCCTTTATTTTTATTTTAAGAATCAAAACAAATTTTAAATCCAAGAGGATAATCCAATGAAATCCAAATTTGTTAATTTCGACAATTAAAATTTTATTCGATATGGTTTGGAGTTTGTACAGCATTGTTTTCCTAATTCGTATTCTTCACCCTAGCCTCTTTGGGGTGATACTAATAAGACACCCCTTAGACACCTTATAATCATTTTTATAAAAAGTCAATCTATAATCAACTTCTTGTAATCATCTTTTTCGGAAAACAATGCAATTTCAACCGATAAAAATATTTCAAACATTAATTAGGGTTGTGTAAATGGTAAAATAGGGTGTCTTATTAGCCAACCCGTCTTTGGATAATCAAACTCTAAGTTCCGTTACTTTCCAACCGCTCTTTGGATAGTCAAGACTCTAAGTTCCATTACTTTCCATCACATTTGCATCCATTACTTCCGATTACACGCTTGTCACCAATCGATATAAACCGATCATCGTTGACAGCAGCAAGACCTTTCAGGTAACGTCCCCTTCTGTTTTGGTTTCCCATACGTCTATGCCTTTTCCCCTGTAAAAGGTTTTCTATGATTTTAAAATGTTCCTCTGATTTATATAGAATAAGATTCTCTTATTTTCTTTCCTCTTTGGTTAGTTATAATGCATACCATGTTTCTTTAGCCGGTGTATTCAAATAAGGATAACATGCACGCCATGTGTTTGTTAATTTGCCTCATATTTGTTAACCTATTGTTTCTTACTGTGGTGCACACCAACTGTTTGCTCTTTTGTCACCTTGTCTTGTAACCAAATGTGAAATTTGAATGCTATTCACGAACAGATGAATATTAGCAATTACTTATTCCTTTTGCTAGGGTGCACACCAACTGTTTGTTGTTTTGTCTCATGTCTACATTTGATTGTTTTTGTAGTTTGATTAAGTTATCATAGTATTAGATAGAAATAGGTCCACCTATATAACAAATCCCCGTGCCACGTCATGTTCAATTACACCAATACCCGATAACCTAACATACTTCAGTGTACTTCGAAACAAACCCGTTTTTAGCAAACAACGTTCATTTATTTATTTATTTATCATTATAATATTATAATTCTTATTGTTTATTTACATATACGGAATTACGAATGTTAGCGCTTCACACAAATAAACATCTCGTTCTGTTAATATGTAGTTAGATCTCTGTTTTTAGCATTTACTGATTCCATTTACTTTGTGAATTTACAGAGAACAACGTTAATCAAAAGGAAGAATCATGGATGGTATGTTGGTTCATTTTGTTTTTGTTACATTACATATATTTAATTATTTATATTAATTGTGACTTGTGATTGGAAATTTGGAATAAATGTTCAGTCGATTCTCAACCAACAATGGAGGAAACGGTTCTTGTTGGAGATGATCTGATGTTAGGACCACCATCACCACTCATTCCACCTGAAATTGCTTCACATGTTCTTCAAGGTCTTAATTTGTGTGATGGAATTTTAAGAAACCTTTTTTTGTGTAAGTTATTTATCTTCATTTCCCAATCAATTAAATTTTCCCATTCTTCATCACAACTTATTGTTTGTGGTTTCTTCTCATTTATATACTTTAGGCCTCCAAGTTAATGATATAGAGCCATTTTGTCAAGAAGAGATCGCTTTGTATCGAGAGTGTTCACAAAAAAGGGTATACTTTTCCTTTTCCTTTAAAAAAAAAAAAAAAAACATTTGTGATGATTTTGAATTGCAAAGATGAATATTAAATATGTTAGGATAAGGAACTAAGAAAACGTGTTCAAGATAGCGAGTATAGATTAGGGTTATCAATGCCTTTAGATGAAGCAAAAGAAAGAGCTTCTCAACTAGAGTCGGAAACCACAACTTTAGAGAGGTATGTTATTTATTTAATGTTAATGATACTTGTTTAAATTTTTTATTTTTAATTTTTATTTTTTATAACTTGTAGGCGATTGATTCTTGCAAGTGGGATGGAAGGAGCAGAAGGGTTTCGCCAAAGGTGGAGTTTACATGGTCGTGTTACAGATAACAAGTAATATTCGGTACCAATATTTATTAATTCTTGTACCCTATGGTTATTTATTTTTATATATTTAATAATTAACGACCCACATATTATATATTTTCTGCAAATGGAAAATCAATCGGTCCATGACCATTAAAGACGTGAAAATCTGTAACATTAACATTCGTGGTCCAACCTAGTACCACTTATCGTACATTCTTGATGATGTTATTTATTTAAAAAAAAATTGTGATTTCATTGCACATGTTATGCAGGAAAAGAATGGAGGCATTAAAGGAAGGACTTGAAAATAGGAAAAAAGACGATGAACAGGTTGCAGTGAGTGTTAAAGGTTCAACAGGAAAAAGATGGTTGTTTTGGTGAAAGTAGGAAAGACTATTATTTGATTACCTAACCCAAAATAATAATAAAAAAAAAAAACAAAACATGTTTGTTTTTATTCAAATATTAAATGGTGTATGGGTAAAATGTTGGTTGAATGATTAAATAATTTTTTTTTTTTTTCTGGAGCAGTTATGTATAAACTTTATTTTATTTTTGGATTGAAACAAGAGTTTCAATATGGTAAAATGGCCAATTTACCGTTATGTTTAGAAATAATGCTAATTAAAAGTTTAACAATTAAAAAATCGTCATACACTGAAATTACAAATGAATAAAAATAAAATAAAAGTGTACTACATAATTTAATAATATGTAGCAAAATCTGATTGTTTTGAAGAAGACAAGGGATGAACGACGAAAAAGGTACATGGGTCGGATTTTATCAGATCAGGATTTTAAAGTTATGATTTATTTGGAAGTGGAAAACCGGTTTTTACCAAAACCCAGTTTGGGTCCGGAAATGTTTGATTTGGTATAACCGGGTTTGGATCATATACAAACAATTTTTTTTCATACCAGACAATGGGATAATTCAGTTTTTTGACTTTTCTTTTGCAAATTAAATTCACCTCCAACCAATATATACTTTTTAAAAATACAAAATAAGGTACAATGCATTAAACTAGAAAATGAAATACACAAGCAATGTGCCACCTTCACGTGTATTTGTTTGCATTAGATCGAAAGGTCCCTTAGTCACTTTGCAAAATTTTCTCAATTTCGTGTTTTAATTAGGGTTATAAAAGGTACCACATCTTCTGAACTGGTCCCAATACACTTCACATGGGTTCGTTTTCCGTCCTAAATTTTGTCTAAAAAAACATGTACAAACCGATTCGTTCTATCTCTACTTGAAAAATGAAATATAATGTTAAATATCTTTTGCCCTTAGAGAAACAGGGTAAAAGCCAACAATCATCTAAAGTAGTCGTTTGTGATGCAGCATTAGGGTACATGGTGCATGTGACATCAATTATGATTGTTTAGTCAAAGCTTCATATTATGTTTGTTTTTTTCCGAGTACCTTTTTCTAATGTTGCAGCTTTTTTTAAGTACAAAAACTTATATATGCATTGAGCTTACACAGTTACAGATGTAGAGAAAACCCCGCATATCATATCGAATTAAAATGATATAAAGAGATTTATAGGGAATACCTTAGTAATTATTAAAAGCTAAACTTTAAATTCAAAGGAATAGATGGTATCATTCATTATATATTATAGTAACGAATCACGATAGTTGGGTCATATTATGCAAGGTAGATATTCATTTCAGATCAAGATTATTTTTATGAGACATGGAGATTTGTTTTTGCCACTAATGCTGGTGATAAGAAAATAAAAATATATAAAAAAAGGTAAATGATACAAAAAACACTCTTTTTACACATAAATTCGATTTTGACACTGTGTTTTTTTTGTGTCAATTTTGACACTGTGTTTTTCAATTTGTTACAATTCTGACAACTTGACCGGTTAATTAGGTTATATGCTGATGCATTTTAAAGTTGCATATTTAATATAAAATACAATTTTTATATAACTAATATATATTTATATATGAAAATATGGCTTGAGTGTAAAAAAAAATGTATTTATACAAAACTATGATTTTTAAATGAAAAAAAACATATCTATAAGGTTTAAATGTATTAAAAAAATATTTATACGGTTTCAAATAGAATATTGTCAACATTGAATAAAATTGAAAAAAATGATGTTCGATTTAGAACAAAAAAACATAGTATCAAAGTTGAAAGAAAAAATTAAATTTAGTGTCAAAATAAAAAAAAAGTTAATGTTTTTTGTGAGAAAAAAATTCAATTTTGACACGTCAGCATATAATGTCACCATGTCACGTCATCAAAACTGATACGTCATCATGTCACGTCAGCATGTAACCTGGTTAACCAGTCAAGTGGTCAGAATTGTAACAAATTGAAAAACACAGTATCAAAATTGACATAAAAAATATCACGGTGTCAAAATCGAGTTTCTGTGTTAAAAGAGTGTTTTTGTGTCATTTACCCTAAAAAAAGGATAAAAAAATTAGTGTGTATTAATTTTCGTCATTTTTAACATAAAAAATATATTTTAGAATTTATACATTTATTTCTATAGACAAAAGTGCAAATAAATTTTTTGCAAACATTATATATTATAAATATATAAAAAAATAAATTCTCAAATGTGAGTGTAAATACTGTAGCTAAAAGTGATACTTAGAATTAGGCCTGACAATCGTGTTGTGTTCGGATTGGCGAGTCAAAATATGCCAACCCAAACACGACCCATTTAAAATATACAGGTCACGGGTTGGCGGGTTTGGAACATAAACCCATATATGACCCACCAACCCATTTATTTATACGGGTTTACAAGTTGGCAGGTTCGTGAGTCAGATTTGGGTTCGTGGGTCCAAATTTTAGATATTTAAGTCTTAAACATCCAAATGAAAATTAAAAACATTCGTAGAAACATGTTACAGACTTAACCTTATAAGTTACGACTTATGACCTTAAACCATCCACCACGAGTAATAATGTCAAAACAATCAAATGGTCTATTAATAAATGGTATATATTATATAATACTTATTAAATATTAATACTTGATACATAAATATATTTAAAAATATAATAATTTTTTTATTAAGAATATAAACGGGTTGGCGGGTCAACCCGTCTATTTTTTGAGAAACTCATATATGACTCGTTTAATAAACGGGTTTGCGGGTTGAAAAACTCAACCCCCACCCATTTATTTCGTGTCGTATCGCGTGTCATATCGAGAATTGACAGCCTTACTTAGAATGCATAAAGTACAATTCCATGAAACATATTTCAATTGTTTTGAATTAAACTTATAAAATGGCCCTTACACTTTTATTTACAACAATTTACAAGCTTTTTTCTTTCTTTTGTTTAATATTTTACCCTTACAACCCAATAAACTTGCCATTTTCAATCTTTTTTTCCCTTTTCTTTCTTTTGTTTTATTTCCTTATAATCCATATTTTCTTATGCCTTCTTAGACACATTTTTTTACTTGCCATTTGCAGTCCTTTAATTTTTTTCATTAAAACTATATTTTTGTAAATACACATTGCAAGATCGATATATACAATGCTAATGCTACCGACCTGATATATTTTTCAAACAACAAATACAACAGTAACCTATCTTTTATCATTACAATTGTTAAATTCTATTAAAAAACAGATTGGCCATACCACAACATACTGTTGGCAAAAAAACTAGATAGAAACTGTAACTTACTAGATAGAAACTGTAACTTACTAACACCTTTCACAAGGTCAGTGTAGCTAAAAGTGCTACTTACAAGATGTACACTTTATTTTTACAGTTATGGCGCCTAATTTTTATAGATTATTCTAAAATCATTTAACTTTTAGAAATAGTTCTTAAACTCTTCTTAATTTTACTTATTCTTTCTATAGTTTTAACCCCTACATTCTTATGAATTATTCAAAAACCATCAAACCTACAAAAATAATCCCTAAACTATTCTCGACTTTTGATAAATCACTCAACGCCCATTTATTTTAAACTTTCTTTGTTTTTTTAAGTTGTGATATACAAAATAAAAAAACACATGTAAGAACCTACAATGAAAGGCGAGCTCAAATACTAGTTATATACAAAATTGTAGAAACGACTCCTCTAATTTGTACTTTTCTTCACATAAGACCCAAAATAGTTTTGATTTGCATAAACGGTTCTTATTTTACTTGAGAGTTTTGGTTTTTTGGTCCATAGAGTTAACATCGATTAGTTTTATTCTATAAAATGTGGATTATATATTTTTAGTTAACTTTTAATAATATGTATTTATATTATTTAGTAGGGGCCTATTTATACCTTACACTTTCCAAGAACAACCTTATCACCCACCCATTTCCTACATTAGAATACGACTAACCCCTATAGTCACCTCCGATGACACCATCTTTTTTTCGATAGGACAAAAACCAAAGCTAAAAATACTAAATTAAAACAAAAACCAAAATCTATAAACCCCAAAATTAACCGATCAATTCGAATTGGGGTTTACAACATTTTCCATTCTTTTAAGTTATTGAATTCGGATTCATGTTTAGTATAACGCCCACGTTTCTTGCTAAGCATTGATTAGATGATTAAGGTCAACAATTATAACTTATTTGATTTAACAAAGGGAAATTATTTGTGTATTATGTGATTATTTGTAGTAGTCGTGACAAGGATTCCAAGGATATAAGGAACACTTAAATTGGACTTATAACGAAGGAATTATGGTCTGTCGAAGTTTTACGATTCTACCCGATTCGACAATGCGCGTCGTAGAAAGTAAAATTTTGTTAGGTTGCTTTTTAGCCTTAGTGATCTAAACAAAAGTCGTAGTAGTTGTTTAACCGAGAGCGTACATATAAAGAACGTCCAAATCTGACTCAATTAGAGAAATTTATGAATTTTCTAATATTCAGCGTAGCAGTGGATAACTTAAATATTGAATTTTAGATCGGTTAATTGTTAGCCAAAACAATCTAAACGAGAGTCGAAGATCTCGTTAATAGGAGTCTAACGATAAGAATATAGTCGAAAATAGACGTCGGATGACAAAGTTATGCATTTTATACATGCTTTAACAGTCTAAGCCTGTGTGAAATAAATAAAGTTAAAATTAGCCGAAAGTGTCTAAGTGAAAATTGTAGATCTTGTCGATAACTATGCGTGGATATAAAGAACGTTGAAAACGGGGCTCATATGAAGAAGTTACATAATTTTGAATTTGGAATTTCATTGCACGGATCTGCACCCTGCATGCGTCCTTCTAGAAGCTGCCGCATAGCACCAGCCAGATTCTGACACGTGAAACCACACCGGGCAAGAACATCGACCATGTGTGCGGTGCGCAAGGCCATTGCACGACGCGTATGCTTGTATCCCAGCCTATAAATAATTCATTTGTGTTCAACCATTTCTCACAATTCTCTTTACAACTCTCTCTCTCGATTTCTACTCTTTTGGTCCAGATTCTTCTTAGAGTTTAGGATATTTTGGTAAGTTTAGAAGTCCCTAGGAGCCCGCTATCTAGTAGCTATCAACCTGGAGTTCCGCCAGTGTAATTTTTGAACTTTTGTCCAGGGAATCTATATAT